CCAGGCTGGCCTCGAACTCACAGAGATCCGCCTGGCTCTGCCTCCCGAGTGCTGGGATTAAAGGCGTGCGCCACCACCGCCCGGTGGTTCTTCCCTCTTGAAATAAGAAGATATTTAACCTAATTTTGATTTTTATAGGAGCCCACAGTTGAGAGACTTTGAACTTTTAAAAGAGATGTTGGATTTTGAAAGTGACTGGATATTTTAAAGAGACTGCACCACTCTTTAAAATGTGTTTGAATTGATAAAGACTGCAGAACTTTTAACGTTATTTGTATTTTATATTGTGATATTAATATTAAAAGGCTATCTTGAGGATGAATGAGAAAGGAAAGATTCTAGTTGAAAGTGGTATGTTTGTAGGTCAAGCTACCAAGGGATCATTTGGGATGGGTAGTTTTATGTGAGTGAAATAAGCTCTTTGCTCCCCAAGTTGCTTTGGTCATGGGGTTTCATCACAGCAATAACTGTAACCTTAACTAGGACACACCTTGATGTGGCCCTTTTACTAGAAGGTCTCCCCAAATATGCAGCAAATGCTCATTAAGTCAAAAGATTTTTCAGAGACCCACTCCAGTCTGGTCTGAGCAGAAAATGCATTTTTGCCACATCCACAGGGGCATGGCCACTCTATCTCTGAATCCACATGATGAGAGACAGTAGAACTAACTCCAGAGCTCGGAGCTGTTGCCATGAAGATCCCAGGCCAGCAACCACGGGGTCTGTTCTGATCACTAAAAAACACCTCTCATTCATAAAACAGACACTGTGTAATTGGATTGGCTGTGTGTTTTGTCCTGGCACTACTTTCTTGATTACTAATTTCCAATATTTTCTCTGTCCCTGATGCCCTTATTCATATTAGAAGAATAAGAAGTCTGTGGTTTGATGGTTCGGGGCCAAGCTAGCCACATCTGTCAGATGCTTGTAAAAATTAAAAGTTCCAGACAGACTCAAATCATAGTTTAAATCCCACTCAGGGTAAATTGAAGGGGTTTGGTAACTGATTCTTCTACCCAAGAATGGACATATGTTAAGCTCACTGATATAGGGACTTTATCCAATGTGAGGTAGGACTTATCATCCCTTTATTCCAGATCCTCAAAATAGAAGCACCGAGATCCTCCCCACTACAGGTGACCAAGCCTGGGACCAGGAACTCACACAGCATACCCTCTTTGAAGTATTACTCACACAGCTATTTTGGTTCATCTCAACTTGTAAAATTCAGTGATTCTTTATTGAGCAGACTCATAAGTGGGGCCCTTAGCTAGGTGCTATGTACCATGACAAAAATTATGTGTGCTCAAAACTGCCTTGGTCTATACCACCTCTGCTCCCAGCTTCTTGTAGGGCATAGAATTTGCCTTTACCTGCAGATTCTTTGTGAGATTCTGTGTAACAAATTGGATATAGAGGGGTGAGAGTCATCCTCTTCATTGGGGAGGTTTAGAGAAGCCAGGAAAATAATGCATGGTAAAATGTTTTGTCGCAGACCTGGGAGTGTAGTTCAGCGAGTGGTGGACTTTCGGTTACCATAAGCAAATATTCCCTGGGTTCAGTGCCTGCACTTGCAAAAGATTTGTACTGCAATGATGATAGCCATAATTATGAGTCACTCTCGAAGGGATTTCATCTTGCTAAGAAGCATAACAGATGCCTGAGAAAGCACTTACACATACACAGAGCATGAGTAAGTACCTGAGTACCCCACATCCTCTGTTAGTATTCTGATGTCCCACTTCCTGCAAAGGGGCTCAATAGAACCATTTCCCACCGGCAACA